CAGATTTTGAGATGTGACGTTAACACTGAGATTTTGAGATGTGACGTTAACACTGAGATTTTGAGATGTGACAGTTAACACTGAGATTTTGAGATGTGATAGTTAACACTGAGATTTTGAGATATGACATTTTGAGATGTGACAGTTAACACTGAGATTTTGAGATATGACATTTTGAGATGTGACAGTTAACACGGAGATTTTGAGATGTGGCAGTTAACACTGAGATTTTGAGATGTGACAGTTTACACTGAGATTTTGAGATGTGGCAGTTAACACTGAGATTTTGAGATGTGACAGTTTACACTGAGATTTTGAGATGTGACAGTTAACACTGAGATTTTGAGATGTGGCAGTTAACACTGAGATTTTGAGATGTGACAGTTAACACTGAGATTTTGAGATGTGACGTTAACACTGAGATTTTGAGATGTGACAGTTTACACTGAGATTTTGAGATGTGAAAGTTAACACTGAGATTTTGAGATATGACATTTTGAGATGTGACAGTTAACACTGAGATTTTGAGATATGACATTTTGAGATGTGACAGTTAACACTGAGATTTTGAGATATGACATTTTGAGATGTGACAGTTAACACTGAGATTTTGAGATGTGACAGTTAACACTGAGATTTTGAGATGTGACAGTTAACACTGAGATTTTGAGATGTGACAGTTTACACTGAGATTTTGAGATGTGACAGTTAACACTGAGATTTTGAGATGTGACAGTTAACACTGAGATTTTGAGATGTGATAGTTAACACTGAGATTTTGAGATATGACATTTTGAGATGTGACAGTTAAAACACTGAGATTTTGAGATATGACATTTTGAGATGTGACAGTTAACACTGAGATTTTGAGATATGACATTTTGAGATGTGACAGTTAACACTGAGATTTTGAGATATGACATTTTGAGATGTGACAGTTAACACTGAGATTTTGAGATGTGACAGTTAACACTGAGATTTTGAGATGTGACAGTTAACACTGAGATTTTGAAATGTGACAGTTTACACTGAGATTTTGAGATGTGACAGTTAACACTGAGATTTTGGTTTCAGATTAAGGACAAGCTTGAGAGAGAGTCGGTGTTTGAGGCGATCATGCTGGAGTCGGAGCGGATCCAACTTTTTAAGGAGTACCAGGCCTTGCTTGAGGACACCTGTAGTCACCACCACGCCAAGAGAAAGAAACGCAAACAGAAACATAAACGATCCCGATCCAGATCTGTAAGTAATCACACTGTGTTAGATCTAAGATCAGTAAGTAATCACACTGTGTTAGATCCAGATCTGTAAGTAATCACACTGTGTTAGATCCAGATCTGTAAGTAATCACACTGTGTTAGATCCAGATCAGTAAGTAATCACACTGTGTTAGATCTAAGATCAGTAAGTAATCACACTGTGTTAGATCCAGATCAGTAAGTAATCACATTGTGTTAGATCCAGATAAACACAAACACAAATGATCACGATCTGTATGTACCCTCACTAATAATTAGTTAACTTGACAGACAACTGATTACTTAAAAGATAACTTATTGATAACTTGATCATCAGACAAACAGTACTCTTGGAAATAACTACCGGTAAGTCTAAAATAGATACAGTATGATCCTAAAAAATTAATTGATCAGAGAGACATACACTGTATTTCTTTGACCCTCTAAGTCATAAGTTAGTACGATCTCATATAAAGCTGACTAGAATTCCCATTGATACCATGGTATAACTTCCTTACATAAAATATTCCTTTCTCCTCCATGGCACTTTTATGGACCTTGATATTGAATACTGTTCTTTATCTACATATTAATCTTATTCTAGCAGGTAGATAAATTATAGTAGAACTGTCATTGACAATGTACGATTGGATTACTTTCAGACAGTACAGTGTTGGTTTTGAGGTGACGTGTGTTTCAGAGAACGTGCCAGGGGCACCAGGCCAATTCAAGAGAACCAGTTCAGGAGATTACAGGTAAACTCGCCAAGACTTAGCCAAGCTTAAAGCAATATGAGCTGCATGTTTGACATCGGAAAAAAAATGTTGCAAATTTGTAATTAACTATTTCAATGACAGAAAAATAGAACATTTATAAACTTCTGTTGTTCATATTTGCTATGAAAGAACTTTTTATACGCTTTGATTGAAGCAACATTGAATTTTTGTCGTCCTGTACAATAATGATTTCTTATATAATACTGTATATTCAGCTGTACAGAAATATTTCTTCCAAAACATTTTAAAACTTTATTTTGGTTTTATTGATCACAAGGTCTTACATTACTTACAAATTAATCATAATAACACATTTTACCAGCAAAATAAAATTCTCAAAAATGCAGCTCATATTGCTTTAAGATAATTCAAGTAAATGTGACAAAATAAAACTCTCAAGAAACAGCCCACTGGCTTACTGGAGGGGTAGTAAGATTGATCCGTCATGTAGGTGTTAACATATTTTCTGTAGAAGGAATAGTCATGAACTTTTTAAGCATAGTTTGATTGGGCCGTATGAAATCTTTTGTATACTCTGTAAAAATAGTTTGGGTTTGATACCAGTAAGAAATTGGTTTATTGAATGGGAAGGTCATAATCATGTTTTAAAAATATCATAATTTTAAGCCATAATATTCATAGGTCAGCTCACTGCACATGACTTTATGATAATGTTATACAATCACTGTTTACAGGAAAGGTTACTGTATTATACGGTTTGAAAGAATCTCTGGAGGGATCTATGATAATGTTATACAATCTCGGGAGGGATCAATGATAATGTTATACAATCTCCGTTTACAGGAATGGTTACTGTGTTCTACAGTTAGACAGAATCTCTGGAGGGATCTATGATAATGTTATACAATCTCAGGAGGGATCTATGATAATGTTATACAATCTCTGGAGGGATTTATGATAATGTTATACAATCTCTGGAGGGATCTATGATAATGTTATACAATCTCTGGAGGGATTTATGATAATGTTATACAATCTCAGGAGGGATCTATGATAATGTTTTACAATCTCTGGAGGGATTTATGATAATGTTATACAATCTCTGGAGGGATCTATGATAATGTTATACAATCTCTGGAGGGATTTATGATAATGTTATACAATCTCAGGAGGGATCTTTGATAATGTTATACAATCTTGGGAGGGATCTATGATAATGTTTTACAATCTCTGGAGGGATTTATGATAATGTTATACAATCTCAGGAGGGATCTTTGATAATGTTATACAATCTCAGGAGGGATCTTTGATAATGTTATACAATCTCTGGAGGGATCTATGATAATGTTATACAATCTCAGGAGGGATCTTTGATAATGTTATACAATCTCAGGAGGGATCTTTGATAATGTTATACAATCTCAGGAGGGATCTTTGATAATGTTATACAATCTCAGGAGGGATCTATGATAATGTTTTACAATCTCTGGAGGGATTTATGATATTGTTATACAATCTCAGGAGGGATCTATGATAATGTTATACAATCTCTGGAGGGATTTATGATATTGTTATACAATCTCAGGAGGGATCTATGATAATGTTATACAATCTCTGGAGGGATTTATGATAATGTTATACAATCTCTGGAGGGATCTATGATAATGTTATACAATCTCTGGAGGGATTTATGATAATGTTATACAATCTCAGGAGGGATCTTTGATAATGTTATACAATCTTGGGAGGGATCTATGATAATGTTTTACAATCTCTGGAGGGATTTATGATAATGTTATACAATCTCAGGAGGGATCTTTGATAATGTTATACAATCTCAGGAGGGATCTTTGATAATGTTATACAATCTCTGGAGGGATCTATGATAATGTTATACAATCTCAGGAGGGATCTTTGATAATGTTATACAATCTCAGGAGGGATCTTTGATAATGTTATACAATCTCAGGAGGGATCTTTGATAATGTTATACAATCTCAGGAGGGATCTATGATAATGTTTTACAATCTCTGGAGGGATTTATGATATTGTTATACAATCTCAGGAGGGATCTATGATAATGTTATACAATCTCTGGAGGGATTTATGATATTGTTATACAATCTCAGGAGGGATCTATGATAATGTTATACAATCTCTGGAGGGATTTATGATATTGTTATACAATCTCAGGAGGGATCTATGATAATGTTATACAATCTCTGGAGGGATTTATGATATTGTTATACAATCTCAGGAGGGATCTATGATAATGTTATACAATCTCTGGAGGGATCTATGATAATGTTATACAATCTCAGGAGAGATCTTTGATAATGTTATACAATCTCTGGAGGGATCTATGATAATGTTATACAATCTCAGGAGGGATCTTTGATAATGTTATACAATCTCAGGAGGGATCTTTGATAATGTTATACAATCTCAGGAGGGATCTTTGATAATGTTATACAATCTCAGGAGGGATCTATGATAATGTTTTACAATCTCTGGAGGGATTTATGATATTGTTATACAATCTCAGGAGGGATCTATGATAATGTTATACAATCTCTGGAGGGATTTATGATATTGTTATACAATCTCAGGAGGGATCTATGATAATGTTATACAATCTCAGGAGGGATCTATGATATTGTTATACAATCTCAGGAGGGATCTATGATAATGTTACACAATCTCAGGAGGGATCTATGATAATGTTATACAATCTCTGGAGGGATCTATGATAATGTTATACAATCTCAGGAGGGATCTATGATATTGTTATACAATCTCTGGAGGGATCTATGATAATGTTTTACAATCTCAGGAGGGATCTATGATAATGTTATACAATCTCAGGAGGGATCTATGATAATGTTATACAATCTCTGGAGGGATCTATGATAATGTTATACAATCTCAGGAGGGATCTTTGATAATGTTATACAATCTCAGGAGGGATCTTTGATAATGTTATACAATCTCAGGAGGGATCTATGATAATGTTTTACAATCTCTGGAGGGATTTATGATAATGTTATACAATCTCAGGAGGGATCTTTGATAATGTTATACAATCTCAGGAGGGATCTATGATAATGTTATACAATCTCTGGAGGGATCTATGATAATGTTATACAATCTCTGGAGGGATTTATGTTAATGTTATACAATCTCAGGAGGGATCTTTGATAATGTTATACAATCTTGGGAGGGATCTATGATAATGTAATACAATCTCAGGAGGGATCTATGATATTGTTATACCTTTAGAAATTTGTTACTATACAATTCTATACAAAAAAAAGTATAACATTTTTAATGTTTTGCTGAGCGGGCATAAAAAAATCGATGTTGGACCGCTGAGTGAGATGTTGGACAGCTCGGAGAGATGTTGGACCGCTTACGTCACAGAGTGGGCGAAGCTTAATCTCATTTTCATTCGCTGGTGTTCAACAGTGATAGATCTGATGTTACATCACGGAATTAAGTACACAATACATGTAAATATATAAAAAAAAAAATAAAATAAAATGAAAGGTATAACAAAACATTTATTGACAGAATTCTCACGCAAAATGTGTTTTGTCAGACCCTCGAACCAAACTCACTGCCTTAATGGCCTCAGGCAGACAGTTTGATTCTTGGGTCTGACAAAACGCAAGTTGCCCTATGTTGCCCTCGAACTCGGTCAATAAATGTATAATGTTATACAATCTCTGTTTATAGGAATGGTTACTGTGTTCTACAGCTAGACAGAATCTCTGGAGGGATCTATGATAATGTTATACAATCTCTGTTTATAGGAATAGTTACTGTGTTCTACAGCTAGACAGAATCTCGGGAGGGATTTATAACATCATGCCCAGTACCTTCCTACCCGGCCAGGAGGGACCATTCTTCTTAGACATCAGCAGTTCCAGTCCTGTAACAGTCGCCCAGATATAGTAGAACCAACATTAATGGGGGGACATCAGCAGTTCTAGTTCTGTAACAGTCGCACAGATACAGTAGAACCAACATTAATGGGGGAACATCAGCAGTTCTAGTTCTGTAACAGTCGCACAGATACAGTAGAACCAACATTAATGGGGGGACATCAGCAGTTCCAGTCCTGTAACAGTCACACAGATACAGTAGAACCAACATTAAAGGGGGGACATCAGCAGCTCTAGTCCTGTAACAGTCACACAGATACAGTAGAACCAATGTGAGAAAATAGGATGGGGGACATCAGCAGCTCTAGTCCTGTAACAGTCACACAGATACAGTAGAACCAACATTAAAGGGAGGGACATCAGCAGTTCCAGACCTGTAACAGTCACACAGATACAGTAGAACCAACATTAAAGGGAGGGACATCAGCAGTTCCAGACCTGTAACAGTCACACAGATACAGTAGAACCAACATTAAAGGGGTGACATCAGCAGCTCTAGTCCTGTAACAGTCACACAGATACAGTAGAACCAACGTTAAAGGGGGGGGACATCAGCAGCTCTAGTCCTGTAACAGTCACACAGATACAGTAGAACCAACAGGTTAAAAGGGGGGGGGACATCAGCAGCTGTAGACCTGTAACAGTCACACAGATACAGTAGAACCAACGTTAATGGAGGGACATCAGCAGCTCTAGTCCTTTAACTGTTGCACACATACAGTAGAACTAATGTGAGAAAATGGGATGGGGGATATCAGCAACATGTAAATATAGTTGAATAAGAGTGAATTTGTACTGTATACAATGGATGGATATCAACAGGCTTCAACACAGAGGACTCTTGTCAATGTGTGTTATATTTAGTGGATACACTGTACAGAACTACATGTAATGTGAATGAGCAGGCTGTATTCAGCAGTCTTCATGACATGGGGGAAACTAGGATTTCAGTTATGCATCATTTGTTGTCCCCCGCTTTCGTGAAAGCGAGGGGACATTAAATCTCATTCGTCTGTCCGTCAGTCTGTCCGTCTGTCACAAAAACTTTAACCTTGCCCATAACTTTTGATTTAGTGGAGCTATGATTTTCATATTTCATATGTGTATTCCTTGTGATAAGACCTTTCTTTGGGTACCACCAAATTTGACCTTTTGACCTTGACCTTGGAGTTTGATCAACTTTTACTAAAAAATTCCAAACTTTAACTTTTGAATGTTAGGTACTAGGACTTTCATATTTCACATAATTATTCTTTGTGACAAGACCTTTCATTGGATATCAACAACTTTGACCTTTTGACCTTGGAAATTTACGTACTTATGAAAAAACTATAACCTTGACCATAATTTTTGAACGGTAAGGGCTATGATTTTTATACTTGACATATATTATTCTTGTTTGTTATCAGTTTTCCTGAAACAGAGAGAGAGCAATATATGTGTTGACTCTTATATACATGTATAAGTGATTAGTGGATAGGGTTGGAATTAAATTGTACATGAAGTACAGTCCTATTTACAATTTGATGTTTGTGGTGGATAAACAGGGTTTTGTTACAAACCTAAATATTCCTCTTTACAGTTTCCTTTGTGTTATCAACATATTGTACAGTAGTACAGCTGTACTAATGTTATTTTGATCTCTTAAATAAATTGTGATAAATATTGAATTGTATATTGTATTTATTTTTTCAATAATAAATGTTGTAAGAAGTTTTACAGTTGATTGTCACTACTTCTGCTTGAGAAATCAAACATGGTGAAATAGTGTAAGGTTTTGAGGAAAAATTATGCTTCGTAAGTGTCACCTGGTGCACAGGTGTATGAAAGTCGGTAATTATATATATTGGGTCTCAATAGCACAGTGGTTAGAGCACTTTTACGGTACGCCAGAGACCCTGGGTTTGAATCTTAGTTGAGGCATGACTTGTCACCACCTGTGACATTTGGCGCCAAATGAAAAAACCCACTGTTCCCTTGGAATATGCTTCACGCATTTCCTTAACTCATAGAATTCGAGGACGAATTTCTACAAAGAGGGGGAATACATGTATGTCACCAGGTTCACAGGTGCATGAAAGTCAGTCAATATATTGAGTTTCAATAGCTCGGTGTTTAGAGCACTGGCACGGTACGGCAGAGGCCCTGGGTTTGAGTCCCAGTTGAGACTTGACTTTTTACCACCTGTGACATAAGAAAACTACAGTTTATTATTGATAAATCTTTCTTGTGCATTTATGAGAAATATAAAATGAATCGGTGCCGTCTTTAGACTAAAGTGTGTGTTTCTAGCAGATGCAGTTAACAGATAAGAAATCGTTCTTTTTTGTCCGTTGTCATGTGTTAACATTTGAACATTTTCAGCTTCTTCTCTGAAACCGTGGGACCAATTTCAACCAAGTTTGGTGTGCAGCATCTATGGGTGAAGGGGAACAAAAATTTTGAATTTTATTTTCCCCGCCCCAAGGGGCCTGAGGGGTGGGGCAAAAACCATTAAGATTAATGAAATCTTTACTCCTGGACATCAAGCAGTCAATATGTTGGCATAAATGTAATGAACATTGAGTCGTCTACCAAAATTTTAAAATTCATGACCCTTGGGTCAGGGGTTTTAGTGCTAGGAGGGGGTTACATAGATTATATAGTGAAAATGTATTATTTCTTTGAAAATCTTCTTCTCTGCATCTGGTATTAAATATACCAGCGAAGTATCTGGTTATGCTGAGTTTTGTGCCAAAGGTACAGGGGTTCCGGTGTTAGGATGGGGTTTTATTGATTATACAGTGAAAATGCATTAATTCTTTGAAAATCTTCCTCTCTGCATCTGGGCATTTCATAAACTAACTAAGTACATAGTTATACCCCCCGTAAACGAAGTTTGGGGGGGGGGATATAGGAATCAGTCCATATCTTTCTTACAGAGGAACATTATAATCTACTACTTCACGCATAGTTTCTCATGACCTAAGGGTGTGTCGTGTCCTTGACCCAAGGTCAGTTGGGCAAGTTCAAGGTCAATATAAGAACAAATTCATTATTCATGTCCAGTCCATGTCTTACTTATGGAAAATTGGTAAGTTCCTGTTTCAAACAAATATTGCTCATGACCTAAGGGTGTGTTATGGTCTTGACACAAGGTCATATCTGCAAGTTCAAGGTCACTGAAAGAAAAATTTTACAATTAATATTCGGTACATATCTTTATTATGGAAAAACTTGAATCTACTACTTCACTCATAAATGGGAGATGTATTTTGTTCCGTTTGGACAGTACTAGCTGAACATATTGTATTCTCCTAAATTAGTTAACAAACAAGTTATGAATTATGATTAATAATTATAATTAATTATACTGCAATGTATTTTCTTTTACCATTCTTAAAACATCCAAACATGAGCTGAGCAATATGACCTAGATTTTTAAATATTGACCTTGAATCAAGTTACAGCAAAACTCGTTTAGTACGAACACGGATATTGCGAATTTACGGATATTGCAAAGTCATCTTGGATCCCAAGATATATAAATTTAGTGACTTTCTTATTTATATGGTTATAACGAATTACGGATATAGCGAAGTAATTTCACAGGTTTCAGTGACTTTGTTATAACCAAATTTTACTGTAATGACACCTTTTCACCAAGTATGATTAAATTAAGTACATGTATATTGTTACTGTGGAATCATTTTTATTCGTGGGGGTCAATGTTCGTGGGTAGCCAAAAATTTCCTGGTTCGTGGGAACGTAATTTCGTTGGTAACAAGTTCCATTTTGATTTTTTCCCTCCAACATTAAAACAAAGAAGAATATCCCCGTCGATGATGCTTATTTAAGTTATCTCTCTTGTGAAAACAAAAATAAACCGGCGGCTTGCACACACAAATTACAGCCGAATGATAGGAATGATGACTAGTAACATTAATTAATTAATTATAATTCACCCTGTGACATGAGAACTGAATTACGACAACAATGACAAAATTGACAGAAAAACGTTTACCCTGAAACCTAATCATGCTAATTGGCTAATTAGCACCCACTCCAATAAAGATAAAAATAAAAATAGACCTCATCGAAGGGGCATTTGAGCGTGTTGGATTATAATGTTAACACTACTTAAATTAAACAGTTGTACTCATCATTTTATTACTTATTGGATATAGTTCTCGATGTCTTTGATACTAATTTTTTTCTTTTAATTTTGGTTTCGTGTCAATATAATTAACAACATGCAGATTGTCTTCTTTATGCGAGATCACTCGGACACAAGGGTAACAATTATTTTACGATGTAAATATAACTTTTAACAAATGTTTGTATATACGTTCGTGGGGATGTAAATTTGTGGGTCAGGGTTACCCACGAAAGCCACGAACATTGGTCCCCCACGAACAATGATGATTCCACAGTACTCTCTTAAATCCTGATAGTTGCGATACAGTAACGTGAGAAGTTCGGAGCCTTTTGATCTTAAGGAACAACATAGTTATGTTAAATAAATAGATATCAAGACTTTAAAATTTCCTGTAGCATAACGTCACATCTTTATAAGATATGTTGCTGGGCCCCACCAAGATATGCATATTATAAATGTACCTTATAAAAGTAATCAATGTCTGCTTCCGCCCTTATTGGAATTTTTGTTGGTTGACCCCTGTGACCTTGACCTTTCAGTGTTTGTACTTGACATATAAAATTTAGGGTCATAATAACGGCATACTAAGCTTTGATCATGTTCCATAAAGGGTTCAAGGATTCCTGCCAATATATGTTGTCTGGTTTGTCATATCTTTACAGGATACCTGTCAATACACATTGTCTGGTTTGTCATATCTTTACAGAATTCCTGTCAATACACATTGTCTGGTTTGTCATATATTTACAGGATGTCGGGTTTGTCATATCTTTACAGGATATCTGGTTTGTCATTTCTTTACAGGATGTCTGGTTTGTCATATCTTTACAGAATTCCTGTCAATACACATTGTCTGATTTGTCATATCTTTACAGAATTCCCGTCAAT